ACCTAAAAAAAAGCAAAACCCTGTCTCCAAAAAAAAAAAAAAAAAGAAAAGAAAAGAAAACAGAAAAAAAAAGAAAGAAAAGAGAAGAAAAATGATGAATGGCTCTAATACAAATATAAAATCACTTGGCTTTCTTATCTATTTACTCTTGAAAATGTAGTGATACATTCCATGATGCAAAAGTATATCGGAATTTTTTAGATATTAGTAAAATCGTTTCATAGAAGTGATGTTTATAGTGGTATGTTTAAGAGAAACTTTTAATGATTTTTAAAATTACCTCAGTGAACATGAAGGAATATTATATATTTCTATAAAATAAATATGTACTTGTTAAAAACAGAAATGTATTTCTAAAACTGAAAAGCTATGAGCCAATGTTTGATGGGTGAATCTTTTGTCTTTACATTTTAGGTTTAGCAAACACATGGATGGAATTATGACTTGTTTCTGCAGGGACAGTAATACTTGAGTTTACTTTGGACATACTTATTTGCATATGAACCATTGTAAGAAGTATTTTCAACATATCAGCGTATAAATTCAATTCAAATTTAACTGTACTATTTCAATTTGGGTCATATTTCAATTTGGGTCATACCTATATATATGAGAGAGAGAGCGCAAAGTAATTTTATTTCTTAGTGTTCTGGACAATGAATAATCTAAATTTTTACAAGCAAATCATTTAGACCATCAGTGAAGACAGTTTCCCAACTACTTTTTTTGTTTGTTTGTTTTGTTTTTTTGGTACCGGGGATCGAACTCGGGTCCTTGTGCTTGTGAGGCAGGCGGCAGAACCACTGAGCTAAATCCCCGGCCCCCAACTACTTATTTTTTAAAGAATATTATGATATAGTTCATTAAAAGCAAAACAATTTTAGTACTGAACTAGAATTACTCTGCATTTTCTCTTTGTTATCTTTCCCTGTCTATTTTTTAAAAAGAGAGAAAGGAATACTAAGCACATTTTAATTGATTGCAAATTTCTTTGTCACTTACTTTGTTCAGTATGATTCATACAGGAGAGTTTTCAGAGCCAAATAGGCTAAAATTTTAAATATAAAATATAAACTAACAGTTAAAAATGAACACCTGACAGTGAATAGATCCGTCATGTAATAAAATGTTTAGTATATAAATCATTTAAGCAAAATTATATATGTTTTGTTTTGTTTTGTTTTGTTTGGATATCAGGAATCGAACTCAGGACCTTGCGTTTGTGAGCTAGGCGGCAGCACCACGAGCTAAATCCCTGGCCCCTACATTTTTACACAGAATACACTATCTTTTGCTATATTTAAATAAAACTAAAATAATGAAAAGCTTGTAGCTATCATTTATTTCAATCCTGAATTTTTTATCTATTTTAAATTTACATTCCCCAAATGCTTTACTTTTTCTGTCATATTTATGAACTTTATATTTGCTCAAGTCCTTTTAAAATATACAGATACTTGTAATATTTTCTTCATATTTTACTTTTATTGCATGCAAGTATCAAATATTAAAACATAGTTAGAAACTAGCACTTTTTAAATTGCAATTTTTAAATTAAACAGTAATCTTCAATTTTATAATTATTCCCAAATTCTTAAAGGTTTATATAGGTGCCTCCAAATGAGAACATTGAGATTCAGAAATTACTCATATATTTTGAAGACTATTCAAAATCATTTGCCAAACTGTCATTTAAATTCATTGAATCAGTATAATGATCTTTTCATTATGTAGTTGTGATTAAAGAGTCCCGATTTTTGGATGAAAATTTAATCTCATTGAAAAATGTGAAAAGTAAGCATGCAAAATAAATATTGAATATTCAATTCTAAATTAAAAATATTTTCTCCAAAATTAACAAAACTGTACATATAATGAAACACTTACAAAAAGATCTTCGTGGAAATTACACATTTTATGAAATTGCTAATTCCATATGGTCTGTTTTCTTAGACATTTAAGTGACAGTTAACTGTCTTTTTAAAATAATTTCTATTTGAGAGAATGCATTTTTTATGTAGCATGCCTTTGGCTAATCTTGTGCCCAGGTTCTTCACATGAAAGCTCTGTGACAAAGGACAGAAATATTGAAAATGGATCATATTACTATGCTTTGATTCTAGGAATTCAAGTCATCCCTCTTAATTTAAAACATGTTAGTTTATAACTCTAATACAGTAATTTACATGAATTTTAAGAGTATTTTCAATCAGTTTATTTATATATTCTCATATTAAATTAAAATATGACTATTCATATCACTCAGTGTAACAGGAAAATTCTTTGTATACTGGACAATGTGAGTGTGGGCTTATGCATTTAAATTAGTACTTCTGAATTATCACTCGTTAAAAATCCTTGATATAGGTCTGGCAGCTTAAAAAGTAGGTGTGACAATTTATTTGCTAATGTTTTTAAAATCTGACACTCTATCAGGAATAGCTCATACATTTTCAATACACCACCACGGTCTGCTTACAAATATCAATGCCAGGTTTGACAGGTGGTGGCTCACAAGTAAGTTCCTTAAAAACACGTGTTCTATTTCATAAAAACATGTATTTTCATTTCTTGACAAATTTAAAGTACTTTGGGTTGGATGAGCCTCTTCCAAATTCTTTTAACCTAACAACATATAGTATTATATTATCTGTTAGACCATGAAAGCATTTGAATGTTCAAACGTATTTCATTAAAAACTTGTCATAAATTTTCAGGAATTACTCTGTAGAAACTCAGAGTTTGTTTCTGTTTTTAACATAGTACATGAGCTAGTGAACTTTATGTAGACTTAGATTATAAAGAAATAAAAATTGGTCCGGGGATTTATCTCAGTGGTGCCGCCGCCTGCCTCACAAGTGCAAAGTCTGAGTTCCAAAAAGAGTACCAAAAAGAGAAAAAAGAAAGAAATCAAGATTAAATATAAGAAAAAATCAAAACGTGTGATTTTATGTTAAAAGGGGAGCTGTTTTATTGTATATTAATATTTTGTTAGAATATAAATGCTTTAAAGTTGACTGTTTGCAATGACTTGGAATACCCCATAATTGAGATTACTACTATTTTGATGATTTTGTAACATGTTTATCACCCACAGGACTCTGTACATCATAAGGGAAGTGGTCACTTAAGAAGTACGGTAGCCTGAAAGAATAAATGAAGCTTCCATTAGAAGCTTTCACAAAATGTCCAATTTCTAATATATTTTTTTAAAGTGCTAAGGTTCAGTCCAATGCAAAATGTTAAATATCAAGTATTATGAGAATCTCTTCTAGGATGGAGACTATAACTTAGAAAATCTGATCCTATAGAATAAGAGCCTAAATTGTTTGTTAAAGGGAGAGACAATTCTCAAGAATTTTTCAATATACTTGAGCAAAGTAATAGGTAAAGGCCACCTATTTTTCAGCATTACTAACATGGTTCATAAGTTGTAAAACTGATTATATACCTACTATATACCTACTAAAAGAAAATACAATGAAATTCTAAAATTCTCCACGTGTTTACCTTTTAGTTAGTTTTCTTTATTTTTCTAAGAATAATCATTGAGAGACTAGGTAAAGAATTTTTGTAGCTTCTTTACCATTATTCTAACATGTTAATTTGCTTTATAATTTATTCATATTTAATTTTCATTGTCAATTTGATTTTTTGATTATATGATCTTGACTTTTCCTTCATTGAAAGTAAAATGTGCTGTGCATAAAATAATGAAATTATTTGCAGTTGTTTTATACAAATTGTAGGCAATTGCTAAAAAGCAATGTGATGATTCTAGGATTCAAAATGATGTTTTTTCCACCGTAGATTAATGCTGTGACCCTTGGCAACTTTCGTTATTTCTCTGCCTTGATTTCAGTCTGTAAAGATGAATACAGTTAACTCAAGTTTGTGAAGATCTGAAAGAAATCTAGATTTTTAAGTTTTCCTTACTGGGTGTATGTCAGTTAGAATGCTCAATTTAGCAATATGGTAATTAATAATCATTGCTATTTATACTTTATATATAAAGTCATAATTATATCCTTGAGGTGAAAACATCTTTCTCTTACTGTGTAGGTATATTATTTGTAAAAAATACTTAATATATATCCTTTTCAATTTTTCATTAACTTTAAAAAAATTAAATGTTCACTCATAGTAATTAACAGTAAATTTAAACTTACAATTTCCATGAAAAGAAAATAATTAGTGCAGTTTTATTAACTTTAATACATATTTTTACCATTTAAAATGACACTGTTGAATGAACTTTCAGTATATTTAACAAAATATATAATCACTATATGTTTCTCAAAATTGAATGTGATTTATAAATTAGTAAATGGCTTTTATGTTTCCACATTTTCTTTGTATTTAATACTTTTTAAAATTAGGTCTAGAGTGATTTCCATTATTTTGGTTTACATTCAAATGATACTGAGTATATTTTCAGTACTTGGGAATCTTTGCCTTTTTTTCGAACCATGGGAATATGTACCAAAATATATCATTCTTCATTCTAATATTTTGAATTTAATAACTGCTTTTTGCATAAAGATTAATAATGTAGCTAATTCTAATTTACTCTTTTTCTGCTATGATACAAATTTGACTATTAACCTAATACTATAATAATTTCTATTCTCAATATTTTCAAATGTCATTACTTGCGCTGTTTATTGCTCTCAATGAAAATCTGAATTTTTCCTCAAGTATTTACAGAAATCTTTATGCAATGATATAAACTGAGAATGTTAATAACTAGAGTTTAAAAGGATAGCAATGACAAATCCACTATGAACACATCTAATCAGATTATATTAATAAAGAGAGGCTCAAGTACTATGAAAGAAGGGTCTTTAAAGAGACCGAGAGCATAATAAGCTGACATTCATGAGAATGCTAATAAAAAGTTATCCGTGAATATCACCTTCCAATTTTCAACACTGGTATTATACAGCAACATCGTGTTGCATTCCTATTCCATAGAAGAGATTTAACCCAACATCATGTGAATCAGAATTTTTTCTAATTATCTAACAAAAATTATCTAAATAGAAAAAACTGTAAATAGCATTTATTATTAAAAGTAGTGCAGGAAAAAAGGATGGTTGGCATAATGGGTATGTCTACCACTAGATGTTAGAATTGTGCCTGGCACCTCATAGACATTCAGTTAATGAATTTTCAAATATGTATTTATAGCTGTCTACATACTAAAATGAATTCCATGAGTATCATATACTTCCTGAATGATTCAGCACACCACCATTTATCTCAAAATAAACTTCAAGGATGCCTAAAGTTTCAGTAAGAATATTAGGTGAGTGTTATATATATATCCTAGCATGAAACTTTGTAGAAAATCATTGAGTATTCCAAAAGCAAAAGGTTCAAATAGTGAAGGGAAAAATGGGTGAGAAAAAGTAGGTCACTTAGGCATTAAACTCATATTTCCAGTTTTTTATTTTAATTTGTTCTGCTTGTTAGGGTAAATAGCTGTTTCTGTTTTGTTTTGTTTTGCTTTGTTTTGTTTAATAATAAAGGAAGTAGTTGTTCCTTTTCTACAATTACATTGCTGTTTTAAATTTTAGAGCATGCCTTAATGGAGACAAGGGTGAAAATTTCTGAAGACATTCGTAGTGTTTTTAAGTCTGGTTTGGTGCTTATCTGTTTAGAAAGCATTTACTGGGCACTATGTATTTTCCCCTGGGTTCGAGAAAACCA